CAGGTGTTGATTTGATTTGAGCAACGTTTTGTTGGTCTTAACGCCAACCTCATCAGGCTCACTTTATTAACAAAAACAAAAACAAAAAACACAATAACTTTCGTAAATCACATTGTAGGGCCACTATTTACAAATATTAACATTAATTAAATAAATGATTATATGTAAATAGTCTAACATAAATTGTAATAAAAATAATTTTTGAAAATTAAATAATTACTTACGTCTACATCGTTATGACGACCAGACTGTTGGTTGACTTAAACGAATAACATAAGCGTCGAACATGTATGTATTTCCATATATGAATATAAACAATAAATGTACGCTTCTTGCGAATATAGATAACGTGTGTGCATATCTACAATGTAGAGTTAAAAGAGATTACTTATAAAATCTTTATATGTGTTATTGAGAAATAAGGTATCCTCATTTTTATTCATTGTGTGTTTAGTAGAGTATATGTGTAACATTTTTGATATTAATTTTTTCTGTCTATTTGGTTCGTGGTCTAGGACTTTGGTTAGAAATAAATTAAAATTATGGTTGAATTCTTTCATGTGTGAAGTGACAACAAGTTTATCTTTCTTTGTACTTTGGTATTCCTGGGGATGCCCAGCGCTTGTTAAAAGTAAATCATAATTGCGTTCCTTTGATATTTAAAAGATATGTCGACAACACTCTCATATGTGTACACAAAGATCAGGCACAACTTTTTTTACAGATTTTTAATTATCAAGACAATAACTTAAAACTCACTTGCGAAGAAGAGACTAACAATTCTACAAATTTCTTAGACATTACAATAACACATAAAAACTTGAAAATAACCACGAATTTGTATGTTAAGCCGAGTTCATCCAATAGAATAACTAATTTTAATTCTAACCATTCCCGGTCGTTAAAAGTCAATGCGATATACAGTTTGGTTGATCAAGCTATTCTTTTATCTGATAAATCTTACCACAGAAAGAACATTCTTACGGCTAACATAATTTTACGCGATAATGACTATACTGCAATTTTTATACAAAAATACATCAAGAAAAAACTTTACCAAATATAAATTACTAATAATGATAAATACATTCTACTAAATAACAATCAACGTGCTAAAATAAAAATTTTTATTCCTTACAAACCGTTATTTTTCAAATTTTGTTCAAAAACTTTGAAAAAATTAAACATACAATTTTACCCTACTATTAAAAATAAATTGGACAGTGTTATTATTCTTGGGAAGGGTAAAATTGATAAGCTCTATCGAATTAACGTAGTGTATCATTTCGCTTGAGATTTTTTCTCCGCATCATACGTAGGTGAGACAAAGAGAGCATTGAAAAATGCCTGAATGAACACAAAAGTATATAATAAACTTGTTGTCGCTTTACACATGAAAGAATTCAACCATAATTTTTATTTTTTTCTAACCAAAGTCCTATACCACGAACCAAATAGACAGAAAAGATTAATATCAAAAATGTTACACATACACTCTACGACTTTATTGTTTATATTCATATATGGAAATACATTCATGTTCGACGCTTATGTTATTCGTTTAAGTCAACCAACAGTCTGACCAGTTAAACCACGATAAATTATTGCACCTTCTGATGATAATCCTGCAGCTAGTCTTGCTTTTTTTTCCTTTGCACGCGCAGACAAATTCAATAGACCGAGTTTCAATTTGTGAATGGCTGCTCAAACGAAATGAACTTAAGCTGTTTTTGAAACGAATGATTACAAGTGATAAGAAGTGGATCATGTACAACAGTCATGAGCAAAGAAAATCGTAGTCGAACCCCGGAAAAGCTTCACAGACGGTTGCAAAGCCTGTATTGACGCCAAGGAAAGGGATTGGAGAAGAATTGTTCATCACGAGCTGCTTGAGCCTGGTCAAATAATTAATTTTATTCTCTACTGTCAACAACTTGTGCGATTGCAGCACGTGATAAAAAAAAACGGCTAGAATTGATATATCGGAAGGCGTTGTCTTCCATCACGACAACGCTAGACCACACATATCTTTAGTAACTCGGAAAAAATTAAGAGAACTTGGCTGGAAAAATTTAACGTACCAACCGTATAGCCTAGACCTTGTCCCATCCGATTACTATTTGTTTTGGTATCTGCAGAACTCTCTAAGTGGTATAAAGTTAGCTTTAAAAGAGGCTTGCAAAAATCACTTGATTGAGTTTTTTCCCCAGAAACCTTAGAAGTTCTATAGTGACAGAATTATGGTTCTACCAGTAAAAAGGCAAAAGGTCATCGATCAAAACGGCACGTATATCGTTAATAAGTGTTTGAAATTTATATGAATAAATCTGCTTTTCAAAACATGAAAAGAAAAACCAAAATTCCTTCTTCCTTAACCCAAAATTTATATGCATTCCAAATTTTTTACTACAATTCAACGATCTTTTAGATTCTTTATCATAGGGTACTTTGAGTCATTTGGAGCAGGTTAAAAAAATCTATTTGTTTGAAAAGTAATTTTCTTTCGAAACCGATAAAGTTGAAATGAAAAAAATAAATAAATCGAAGAAATTTATATTTTTTCTTGTTACAATTCCGAGAATTCCAACGTAAAGAAGATAGGCCAAAATCAGTAAAATCGATTTAAGACATAAGATATGACCTCTTACATACCAAAATACGCACACACACACGCACATACATAGACAGATACTGTAGCCGAAGGACTCTATTTCTATTCTAAACTTTATGACACACATTTGCATTACGTTATTTAAATGTCCAATTTTGTCACAAAATTTTTTCCATAGAGAAGTAATAGTGATAGGTTTAGTAGTCAACTACTTGAAGTTAAAATTCTGAGGGTATATTAGAGCTCATTTTAATAGGCTAGTGATAATTTCTAATTTATAAATAAATCAAAGAAGATAATGTTAGTTAATAACTGTAATGAAAAACCACTATCTTGCACAATGAGTAATTTTAAAAAGTTAGAAGTTTGAT